AACCTGTGACCACGGGAATCGAGCGGTCACATGTCAGTGATAAAAATATCTCAGGCAGGAAGCGCAGGAGGGGGTCCAACCCCCGCCTCCTATGTGACCCCGGTTGGGTCGTCTAGCTACTAGTAGAGGTGGAGGATGGGGGCCAGAGGGGCAGACAAAAGAGTCCAATGATGGGAGAAAAAAAGAAAAAAATGTTTGTTAGATCAGCACCGACAGATGAAGGTACTGGGTAGAGAGGTCGGAACGTTTTTTTTTTTTTATGTGAGAAGACAACGACAGCGACAGAGCTCGGTGAGCTCTACATCGACACACGCCTACATACAGTTAACGTTGAGGCGGCCCGATTCCGAACGCTTCAGGCATCACCGATGACCGTAAATCAGAGACCACGCGAGTCCATTGCTTCCACCGTTCATTTTCAGCACAGCTCTCTCCTAACACATCCCTCCTACTCGTCGCCGTGATCGATTTCAATGGCTGGGTCCATGCACACCGTCCGTGGGTATTTCTTTGCATAACAAGGACAGTTAAATAGGTGCTTGGAAACGTTCGAAGAAGTGGGGCCGCAGCAGCCGTAAATAGTAGAATCCGAGGTACACGTGCATAATTTACGTTCTACAATAGACTCTTTTTCTGTAGATATTGTAGAGATGCATACTGTGTGGAGTATTTGTGTACAAGAACGACTGTTTCTAGTATTGCATGGGTTTTGTGCCGTATTGTGAAGGCGTGTTTTCAAGTCTGTAACCGTCAGGTGAAGACAGCTTGGGCGTCTGTGCGTGGATACTAAATCACGTGTTACTCTACCTACACCTCGCACGAACAACGCCAGCAACTCGAGAGGAGAGCGTCCCTCGCTGCACAGCGCAAGCCATTTCGCCCAACACATACCACTCCGAAGTACACCAAGAAAATACAAAAAAGGGTTCGTTTGTTGCATCTACAAACGGCGAACCTGCACTACCGTAGCCACGCCTGGATCCCGCAGCCACAGCACCTCGTGAGTGCATCATCGTAAAACTCGCCAAGGTTAAGGTATGGACTTTCGTCATCGTGATGGTAGATACAGCGGGAGATTCGTATTCAAATTAGAGTGAAGAAAGCCGATTCATTGATTGAATGCGTTTCTTGTCGCTAAAGAGGAGCCCTGCACCACTGACTCCCATGCGCCCCCTAGTATACAACACAACTTGTACAACAACGCGTCGTTCTAGCACGGCAGTCTACAGCGACAGGGCCAAGTACCATGCAGTAAGGGCCGAGTGCGTAAACCTTCACATATTCGGGGTGGGTGTCGGCAACACGAATCAGCCGAAGCAGCGAGACATACCGTGGGTTGCATAAGATATCACACCCCCTGGACCGATTTTTGAAGCTCGAATTCTCGGCAGGAAAAGCAGTGACGGTGCCCAAAATGGCGGGAGGCGTTGGAACCGTGTCGTCGAGAAACTTTCCGAAAACATATCCTTTGGTTTCGGCATCCTCTTCGTCGTGGAGTAATCGAGCTTTGAAAATTGAAAATCGGTCCCGGGTGTGATATCTTATGCAACCTACGGTATGCATAGGTAGAAAACTGAAGGGGGGGGGGGTTGACAGAAAGCGACCCGCGCCAAGGGGCCCTCCATGTGGAAACCGTGGAACACCCCAGCCCCCCCCCCCCCCCCCCCCTGGGGTAAAATTGACCGTAAATAAAGGGGGTTTAGTGCGCCGCCT